GTGAAGGGGAAATCGGATGGAAGGGCGTTTGCTCCACGTAGGCGTTTCGGCTCGGTTGCTTTCCCCATGTTAGTGGCTGACTCAGCAGTTACGGCACTTCCGGCAGTTTCCCCGGGCGGTCACTCAACCTGCCAGTTGCCATGCCCGCGTTTATCAGGCCAGTCAGTCAGTCACTTTCACTGTGTAGGTAATTGTACTATTGTACACTAGACTATTCACTATTTAGTGCAAGTGCCGGCTGGTGTCAAGTGTCAGTCCAGCTCCACGCCTTTGACTCTTGATTGCAATCCTTGTAGAGCGACCTCTCTTCCTTTCTCTTCCTCTCCTTCTCTCGTGTTGTAATCTCAATCGCAGTGAATGTCTAATCATACTTAGTTTCTGAATTCATCTGCCTATATCTCCAGCTCCTTTGAAATTCATATATATATAACACTGATCTTTGACTTTTTCGCTCTTCCTAACTAACCTCCACGCTTAATTTTCTCGTTGTTGATTTGGACGATTAGCCAAAAGTACCAATACCGCTATTAATTCTGACCTGACTGATCACCATGACGGCCACCACATATCTTGATCGCTATAGAAACCTGGTTCTCACAGAACAGAAAAAGAACCTGCTGATCGAGGTACATACACAGCTACTCAATCCGCAACAATCCATAAATGTATACATTGCGTTGACACTACTTTTTCGCGGGGCACAGGAACTCCTGCAGCGAGTGGCGCAGCTTGAAGATGCATACGAACAGGAAAAGCTTGATCATGAGCGCGAGAAGCGCTTCAATCGAGATATCCAAGTACATGAGATGGAACTAATGGGGCAGGTCTCTCGGTTCCAGCTTTCCATGGTGGGTCTGACACTACATAGTTCCCGCAACGCAGTCTGTGCTGACCTCAGCTTTCTCACTCCATTCCAGAACCGCCAACCCTACATAATTGTTCTCTTGGACGGATCTGGGTTCATTTTCAAGGATGCGTACCTCAAAAAGGGGACACAGGGCGGGAAGCTCGCAGCCCAGAAGCTTCACGACGAGCTTGAGGCCTTTAACGCCAACCAGCTCCCCAGCGCCAAGGGCCCCAAATTGTTGACAAGAATGTATATCAATGTGAAAGCACTAAGCGAGACCTGTATTAGAGGCGGCATAACCACCGATCCGTCGTTGCTGCAGGATTTCATTCGCGGCTTCAATAGTTGCTATCCTTCGGTTGACATCGTGGACACGGGCGCCGAAGCGGATAGTGCGCACAATAAGATTGCAGGTAAGCTTCTCGTCAGTCTCCATCCTGCATTCAATCCACGCTGATTCGACCATCATCTTTATGCAGAGACCTTTGAACTCAATCTCTACAATTGCCACTGCCATCAAATCCTCCTGGGCTGTGCGGATGAAAATTCCTTCTTTCAGGTTCTGGGAGATCACCTTGACGACAAGGACCTGATGGGGCGAGTGACCTTGCTCGAAGCATTGCCTTTCGGCGAGGACTTGAATACCATCAGCTCATCGTTCAGGACATTGCAGTGGCCGGAGATCTTCCGTGACTCGAAAATCTTTCCCATCTGGTCTCCCTGGAAAGCTGCCGTGGCCACGCAGCCCCGCTCCCAGCTCACTCCGTCACCCAAGCCGGAGACAAAGCTCTCTCCACGGTCTGCGAACCAAGCGTCCACAACCCCCAGCGTATCACTATCGCTCGCCTCATCCAGACCATCCAGCCCAGAAGAAGAATTCCAGGTGGTGCGCTCCAAAGCGGCCGCGCCCGCACAGCCCAAGGTCGTCGAGCGCAACAAGTACGGGCAACGAGTTGACAGGCTCGACATGAAGAAGATAAACCAGCAGGACATGAATCGCCTCAAGAAGCTGAAGTTGTGCAATTACTACCATCTGCAGGGGGATTGTCCTGTACATGACTGCCAGCATGATCACTCGCACAAATTGACCAGGAGCGAATATGTAATGTTGGCAGCCATTGCTCGCATGATCCCCTGCCGCTATGGACTGGAATGCCATGACCCCGAATGTACGTTTGGACACCGGTGTCCCTATAGCGAACCGGGCCAGAGAGAGTGCCATTGGGGCTCCAGTTGTCGGTTCGAAGCAGCCTCGCATGGAATCGATACCACTGTTGTGAAGGTGACTAAGATTTAGCGTTCCTGACCACAAGCATATCTAGTATGATGAGAAGCTTTTGACCCTTTGTTATCCTATATCTCTTGTCATTCTGAGGACTGCCCTTGGAAGCGCTGATTTCCTTGTAAAGTTGCTCCCTTTAACTCGAGGTTGCCTTGAGTTGGTGCATTTGACATATGTTTGAGCATACGGAGCGGTCTCATTCTATTCAGATTCATAACGTAAAGTATATCCAGAATAAAGGTATTGCCCCATAGATATAACCCCCGAGGTCACCACCAGGTCATACAAGATGGTTGGATGAAATGAATCAAGACGTGAAGATCTGAAAACCCAAGCCAAACCTTGAAAATGACCTTCGACGCATGACATTCAGGGTATAGTCAAGGTAGAAGAAGATAAGAATCGTCACCTCAAGCTCCTCTCAAGCCTCGATTGTGGTCATGAACATCGCAAACCGCCTCTCCCAGCCAAAGCAGTCCTCATGGGTACATGCCGGGGCAACATCGCCGCCGTCGCTGCCGCCGCCGCCGCCGCCGTCGTCGTCGACATCGACTGTGTCAATGCAATGTTTGCACCTGACCCCATATTCCTGAATGCAGCAATTGAACGGTTGCTGAGATAATGCACCTAGATTATGTGGTGCTTCAGCGCCTTTCTCTCTGGCCGCTCGTTTAAGTTCCTCTAGATTGCCCCAGACATGGAACAATTTTTCTCGCAGATTCGCAAGGTCGACCGGATTTCTCCTGAGGCTGAGCGATAACGATTTGGTACAGCGTCAGTCGATGGGATCTGCGTAGAAGATGAACGATTGTGACTTACTCTACCGCATCAATGCCGTGGAGGTACACTGCCTCGCCCTTGGAGACAAACAATCTGATTTGTTGCTTGGCTTGTCCTGCTGGGGGTGGGGGCACGCTCTCGACTAGGAGACAGAAGCGCCACTCCCAAGTCATGAAGCCGTTGTCTTCTCTGTCACTGCCTTCACTTGATGCGGCTCGGGGAACTGGGACCGAGAAGTCTTCCAGATCATGAGGGAAATAATCGACCACGCGGACTTTCGTTCGATAGCAGAAGTTCTGGAAGGGAAAGCGGTATTCGATGTTGTCCGGTGACCGGTTGGTGTGCTCTTCAGAAGCGATTATAGCTTCGAGACTCCGGGTGGGAACTGACGGGTTGCCAGCGCGTACTATTATGGATCGTTAATTTCAGCATTCCTGGAACCTGTCCCGATAAAGTGACTGACCGTTAGGGTTTGCTTCGTAGCGACCCCGGTTGGTGACGGGCGGGGCCAGAGGCTGTTGGCCGTCCGCAAGGGCTTCCTTCTTCCGCGTCTTTGACTTGACCTTCTTGGGAGCCTTCTGGTTGTCTTCCTCAGCGGGCTTTCGTTTCCGGGGGTGCGATTCCCAGTATGCGGTTTTGCGGTCGATCAACTGCTGGGCTCGCACGTCCTTGTGAGGTTGCACGACGACCAAGTTTGCCGCCAGAGGGTTGGTTCGGTTGGTATGGACGGTAGCTTCCAATCTCCCATTGACGCGATTCTTTTTGATGTGAACGTTGTACAAGAGAACGATATCATCCTCCTTGACATGCTGACGGGCGTACGCTGCGTGTGGCTCCCATAATGTGACCGGGAGAGACAACTGCCCAGCGGGCCCCGTCCACTTCTTTCGAAATCGTCTCTGGTAGTTAAAGGTGTCTCCTTCGCAGCCTTCGCCATTGCCCTCGCCATTGTCCGGCGAATAGTCGTGCAGATCTTTGTTGGAAGTGTAGTCGGTCAGGTAAAGCAAGGCCTTCTCGCTGTCATTGGGGTATATCTTGATCACTTCCCCGACCAAGTCAACGAAGGTCTGCTCTTCGATATCTTTGATCAGCGAGAATTTCTTGCGGTTGTATGACCTAGAGTTCGGCGCGGAGGTCTGAACCACATAGGAAGGTGGAGGACGGGCTTCCACCGAAGCTTTGCGAAAGTCGTGAATGCTAGCGACTTTGTCCAGCAGAGATAGGGCCTTCCTTCTCTCAACAGCGTCAGGCTCAAAGGGTCGGGGGCCACAGATCGGGGAGGATCTGGCCATTGAATTCAGGTCCGAACGGAAAATGGCCCATGGGATGTCCCGATCCTGCGCGGCCACTCCCAGAGTTCCGCCTTGTAATGACCGGACCTGCAGCGAGGATTGTGAGTATCAATTGCTTGAGGGGATAGAGCCATGAATCGATCACGAACCCATAAATTGCGCAGCAGGATTACATCATGCACTTTGACGGGTGGTAGACTATCCTCGTTATCCCTGAAGTATTTGACCTTCAACCCATCCCACGTATGGCCATTTTCCAGGTTGGAATCTTTGATCGTGAAGGTAATGCAGGTAGAGCTGCCTCGAGACTTCCAGACGCCGGGCATCACGTCGACCACGACCCCGATGATGTTGACATTGCCAGGAGACGCGAGCGCTTTGGTAATGTCCACTAGTCTAGGAGTGAAGTTGGCCGGCATTGCGACTGGTAGTCGACATACTACGGGGGTCTGCGAAGGATACAAGAAAGTATTTCAAGCCATGAACGGTGCAGGTATCACGGACTAGATTTCATTGATTGACCTCCACTCGACTGCCGAACTAATGCTTGAATCCTGGGCAGAAAAGGGTCAAATCGATTAGAGGTATTGTGGTTGGTCAAAGCCAAGTACTGACCATCACATCAATTGAAGTCAGTAAGGATTAGGAGATTCATTTTCTGGAAGAAGCGGAAGTGTAGAAGATGAAGCTGGAAGACGATCAACTTATCATGAGACGCGTTCCGCGGTTTCGTGCTTCCTTCCTTTTCGCGCGTGTTTTAAAGTATATAACATAAACGAGCACACACTATCAGCAATTAGCTCGCATGGCTTAGATGGTAAAGCGCAGCACTAGTAATGCTGAGATCCTCGGTTCGAGTCCGAGTGTGAGCAATTCTTCTTTTTGCATTCTTTGCATTTTTTCTGTAATGCACCGAGCTTTTTCTGCCCCGAAAAAAGATGTTTGTTTTTGCCTCTTTCTTGTGCGACCAATCAGCTCGCTCACAAGACAGCCCCTCCGCGGCAAAACCGCTTAGGCGGAAGTGGCGCTTGCAGCCCGCGGCGACCGCAAGCAGCAAATCATAAGGCATCCCGTGACTGGAGCCAATCCCACCTCCGAGCATCAACACTTTTTTCCCCTCCTTCAACTTCACTTCTTTCTTTGCGCTCACCCCCCCTCTTCTCCAAGGCTAGCTTTCCCTTGGTCTCCCTTCTTCAGAACCATCCACTCCACTGGTCTTCTGTCTATTTTTCGACATAAAACCTTCCGCTTCTTTTTCTCTTCTCCTCTCTTTTAGCTAATCAGTCACCTGTGCGCTTTGTTTTCACCCCTCCTGTGTCCTAGCAACCATGGCCGAACGTTACATCCCCGAGCACCGTCGCACCCAGTTCAAGGCCCGAAATCAGTTCAAGCCTGATGAACTCCGTCGTCGCCGTGAGGAGCAGCAGGTTGAAATTCGCAAGCAGAAGAGAGAAGAGAACTTGGCCAAGAGAAGAGGTATCCAGACCCGTGATGGTGGAATTGGTGTAGGCGGCGGTGTTGCCGCTGAGAGTGATGACGAGGCCAGCGCCATCGAGAGTGAGGTATGCTTTCCATCTCGCTTTCTTTCTTTTTTTCATCTTCCGCTTGATTTAGCATGTAATCACCTTTTGTTTTGTCGCTCGTGTGCTTGATTTTCTGCAAGCGGTGGCGGCGCAGCTTATTTTACCTTTGCCAATGCGAAGCAATGAGCTTTTCACCGCTTGCCGCCAAAGTGAGCTTGAGCTGGATAAGACTTATCCCCGCGCAACATCACCTTATCCCCATCCTGGTTACTCGTTTCTTTATCTTCCTTTACCGCTTCGATGGCTAACAGTTTGCCGTTTAGCTTAATGTTGAGCTCCCGGAGATGGTTAAGGGCGTCTTCTCCGAGCAGATCGACCAGCAGATCCAGGCTACTACCAAGTTCCGGAAGCTGCTTTCCAAGGAGCGCAACCCTCCTATCGAGCGCGTCATTGAGACTGGAGTCGTGAGCCGCTTCGTCGAGTTCCTTCGTTCTCCTCACACTCTTGTTCAATTCGAAGCTGCTTGGGCTTTGACCAACATTGCCTCCGGTTCCGCCCAGCAAACCCAGGTGGTCATCGAGGCTGGCGCTGTGCCCATCTTTGTCGAGCTCTTGAGCAGCCCTGAGCCCGATGTGCGGGAGCAGGCCGTCTGGGCCCTCGGTAACATTGCTGGTGACAGCCCTCAGTGCCGTGACTTTGTGCTGAACGCCGGTGCTCTCCGCCCCCTCCTTAACTTGATCAACGATGGTCGCAAGCTGAGCATGCTCCGCAACGCCACCTGGACCCTGAGCAACTTCTGCCGTGGCAAGACTCCCCAGCCTGACTGGAACACCGTATGTTTCTCCCGCATTCAGATGAAGAAAAGCTTCGCGCTAACACCCACATTCCAACAGATTGCCCCCGCCCTTCCCGTCCTTGCCAAGCTTATCTACATGCTTGATGACGAAGTCTTGATCGATGCCTGCTGGGCTATCTCTTACCTGTCCGATGGCGCCAACGACAAGATCCAGGCTGTCATCGAGGCTGGCATTCCCCGCCGCCTTGTCGAGCTCCTTATGCACGCCTCGACCTCTGTTCAGACCCCCGCCCTTCGGTCCGTCGGAAACATCGTGACCGGTGACGACGTCCAAACCCAGGTCATCATCAACTGCGGTGCTCTCCCCGCCCTTCTTTCCCTCCTGAGCTCCACCAAGGATGGTATTCGCAAGGAAGCTTGCTGGACCATTTCCAACATCACTGCTGGCAACTCCACCCAGATTCAGGCTGTTGTCGATGCTGGCATCATTCCTCCTCTCATCAACCTGCTCGCCAATGGCGACTTCAAGACCCGCAAGGAAGCTTGCTGGGCTATTTCCAACGCCACCTCCGGTGGTCTTCAGAAGCCCGAGCAGATCCGCTACCTCGTCACCCAGGGATGCATCAAGCCTCTGTGCGATCTCCTTGCTTGCCCTGACAACAAGATTATCCAGGTTGCGCTGGACGGCCTCGAGAACATCCTCAAGGTTGGTGACATGGACAAGGAAGCTGCTCAGGCTGGCGATGCTCGCGTCAACCGCTACGCCCTGTTCATCGAGGAGGCTGGTGGCATGGAGAAGATCCACGACTGCCAGAACAACGCCAACGAGGAGATCTACATGAAGGCGTACAACATCATCGAGAAGTACTTCTCTGATGAGGACGAGGCTGGTGATATCGATGAGGTTGCTCCTCAGCAAACACAGACCGGATTTGCCCTTGGTACGACGCAACAGCAGCCTGGCGGCTTCAACTTCGCCAACGGTGGTGGTGATTCCATGGACATGTAAGGAGCGGAGTGTCCGCACTCTTAATCTGAATCTCCAACGATCTGGTGTATTCATGTCAAGTCCATGCGTTATCGCTAGATCTGTCACACATGGCGGCTGGAGGAGGCTGCGCTGTGGACCCCAAAAACCTCCGAGTACGCGGAGGCTCTGGGACTCTGAACTCTTTCGATCGCTCTTGATTCAAGTCCTTCAAGAGTGCTTGAGGGAGAACTTGCTGCACCGCCACAAATGTCATTTTCTCATCCCAAACCACCCTTTCTTTTGCAACTCGAGGTTTCGACAATTGCGTTCCGCCGTCCCCCACCCCCTCCTACTCACAATACCGTTTTGATAAGTTCACGATAAACAAGATTCACCGTCATGTACTCACCCCCCAATTTTTTTCCTATTACCGTAGCATTCCTCATACACCGGCGCACCTGTTTCATTCTTCCCCCTTTCGGTCTCTTGTTCATGTCTCTCCTGGATGGTTGTTCTTTTCTGCCCCTCGGTTGTCTTTTTGTGAGGGCTTAGAATGCGGATGCCTGTCCATCCGCCTTTGCTTTTCTGGAGAGGAAGAGTGGTATATCGCTAGCTTTGCATGGTCCCCTCTTTCCCGCTGACGCACAGAGGGGAAGACAGGGCGGACTGATGATCAACAGATCGCTCTCCAAGCGGTATATCTATCGTTCTATTCAGCGACGATGGCGGGGATGGTTTCCGCTCTAGGTCAGAAAATGGAAAGTTTTCCCCTCTTCTTAAGCGCTAGGTCCGTGTAATCATGGTTGATCTTGTAGCTTGTGTATATTTTGCGGCTCGTAGATATACCCTAGTGTAGCATGTGACAGTGAGATGAGTGCCGAAGCAGGAGAATTTTCCGTACACGATCTTTAAGACCAGGACTTGACACCTAGATAGGCACAAAGATTACCTTCTCACATCGCCTGACACCTCAACCTGACCACCTCAGACCCATTGCACCGCGTCAATAAATCCAAGTGCACTAATCCTCTCCGTAAAAGTAAATATTGATTCTCGTTACTTCAACCACAACCTCTCCAGACTCATCCACTCGTGGCATGCGGGAAGGTCATACACTGGTACTGCACATGAATCAAAAGCACACATACTAGAGACCAAGTGAAGATCTCCGAAAGAATGGCAAGTCCTACGCCTCACGCTTTAGGGGATCAATCATCCTGAATGCAGCACCAGAAGAGACCAATCCCACAGCCTGAGAACAAACCCAGCCATCCGATTCCTTTACCCGGTGTAGAACGAGAAAAAAGAAACAAACAGAGAGTACGCCGTACGGAGTACGTCCGCCCTACCACCAAACCTAAATGATCAAACAAAGCAAATCGAAGTAAAGATGATGATAGAAGTTACGCCTACCCTACTACCAAACGATACACAGAATGACAGCAAAAAGAGCATGAACCCAGGCTGAAATAGACACGCGAAGGAAAAAAAAAAAGGAAAAAAAGGGGAACACCGTGAAATTTTGCCACTTAAGTTTGTTTGCCTTGTCTCCGAAACAAGCAAGCAGATAAAATAAACAAATGGAATATGGACACACACGAAGGAGAGAGGAACAGCGTATAGAAAAACCAAACTACAGTAATTAACATCTCAGTCACCCATGACTTCGTCCTCGTCATCCGGCTCAGGGGAGGCCACGTTCGCATCCTCGTCTTGATGTTGATCGACGTCAAGGTCAATGTTTCCTTCCTCGACGAGACCTCGGGCTCGGAGGTCCTCCTCGCCGTCTTCAGAGCCGTCGTCCTCGATTGCGTCCTCCTCCTCCTCTTCGTCGTTGTCGTCCTCGTCATCGTCCTCGATTCGTTCAGCGGATTTGTGAGATTCTTTGCGCTGCTTGGTCGGTGGGTTGGCACCGCTGCTGCTAGCGGCGCCGCCGTTGCGAGGCTTGTCGGTCGTGGGCCGGGCGGGAGCAGCAGCGGGTTGTTTCGCCCTGGACTGGGCAGGCGTGGCTCGTGATGCGGCGGTTCGGGGCTTGCGATCCTCAAGGAAGGCCAGGACCTCGCGGTAATTCCGACCGAGCTTGGCCTTGTGGTGAAGGAGGCGCTTCCGTAGTTGTCCCTGGTCGGAGCCCGATGCGTCCAGGATGCGGCCTACGATGGCGAGGACGATCTTTCCGGTCAGCTCGCAGAGCCGTTGCTCCGCCACGATGCTGGACCGGAGACGCTCGTCGTCGAGCGGTTGGTCGGCGTCTTCGTCTTCGTCTTCCTCCTCGTCTTCATCCACCGGTGCCTTCTGGATATCGTCATCGGACAGAGGCTCGTCATCATCGGCGGGTTCGAGCGAGACGCGGATCTTCTTTGCATATGTCCGTTCCGCGATGCCGTGGAGCTTGGTGATTAGGGCCTTGGGCTCGTCCCCGATTTCGTGGACCAAGCTTTGGGTCTGGAAAATGGTATCTTCGTCGTTGCCCACGCCGAGCCCCGCATGGCGGAGGGTGCCAAACAAAGTCTGTAGGTCTAAGAGAGTCGTGGCTGCGCAGAAGCGGATATCATCGAGACCCGAGCGACTCTTCATAATAGCAGT